CAAATGTCCAATAAATTATTCTCTTATTCGAAATGCATCTTGTATAAACCCACAGTTGATGGCTAAAAGTCCAGAAAAAGCCCAAAACAAAATGAAAATAGTTCTAACTGTATTAACGCAGAATAAACGTGTTTTACAAGATAATTGTGATGAAATTCTGCTGCAGTTTGAAGAGATTCTAGACAAAGTACTTAAGACAAATTTACATGAATTTTCTACTTTTGATTCTCAAAATCTTTCTCTTGACACATTTCTCACTTCTTATTTTCATGATTTTCACTATTCTAAAGTATGGAAAATAATGAAAATGATTCTTATCTTGTCACATGGGCAGGCCTCTGTGGAAAGGGGCTTCTCTGTAAATAAAGCAGTTGAAATTGAAAATTTAAGTGACTCATCATACATTTCTCAACGCACAGTATTTGATTACATAAAATTTTCTGGATGTATTCTTAATATCGAAATTAATAAAGAAATGAGATCAGCAGCAGCTTCGATAGATGCTTTTAGCAGATGAAACCAAGACCAGCAGGAACATTGAGGAACATTGATTTTTTATCAAAGCAATGAACTTAGAAGAATAGTTAAAGAAAAGAAGAAATAGACATAAATAAATTAGATTTAAAATATCTGAAAAAATTTCAGATTTAAAAAGCATAAAAACATAAATAAATTAGGTTATTAAATGATTTAAAATATCTGAAAAAAATTTCAGATTTTAAAAAAGCATAAATGTTTTGTATCTTTTATTGCATAGTTTATTATTCTAGTATCTTTCAAAAAACCAAAGAAATAAATTGTATGTTTACAAATCTGTTATTTTAATCTGCAAAATATTCTTACATTGCAATTATAATAGTAGTTGACTGTGTTTAAATAAATATCAAATAAGTTAAATAATAATCATGTAAATCTCTAAAATATCTGTGGCTGTTATTAGTGTGAAATACACTTATACATGTTTTTCAAGAAATTATGTTCTTAATTTAATGTTATCTACTTCATAACTTGTAGGGAGTTAGTTTAATTTTCAAAATTGTTTTATGTATTAAATTGAATTTAATAATAGTGCATAATATACACTTCTGTTAGTTTCTTAAATGGATAATTGCTTTATTCTATTCTATTCTATTCTATTCAATTTCCCCCCCCCCTTATAGGTCCTTAATTTTTTCTTTTGATGGTCCTTAAAAGTCCTTAATTTTCATGTAAGGAAATGTGTACGAACCCTGTAATACATCTGCTGGGACATTATTTAACAATGTTTGGATTACAGTCAGAGCCAGTGTTTTTTTTTTTTTTTTTTTTTTTTTTTTTTTTTTTTTTTTTTTTTTTGTGACCACCATATACAGTTGAATTTTAGATGGATTTTCTTGTCTCCTGGGTAATCCTCTTACTTTCAGTGCCTGTTATTAATACTTTTATTCAGTACCCTTTATCCTCTTACTTTCAGTATCCCTTATTAGTTTAAATTCTTATTCCCTTCTTCTCCCTATTATTTCTTTTGTAATTTTTCTTGGCAATCATTACTTGTAGTTGAAAATTTCTTCCTACTTTCAAAAGGTTTATACCGTGAAACTATGACCTTCCATCCATTACAGGCCTGTAAAACTGTATGTTCGACCTCTGGCCATGTTCTGATTTAGGCACACTTTCTGAAGCCATACTTTTATTTACTTCCAAACTTCACAGCGAGCTCAAACAAACTCTCAAGCATTATTCTCAAGCAAAGTATTAGTACTACTAGACCATGCCTCTGGACATCTGAAGGAGTTAGAACATCTAAATGCAAAGAGAATATTTCTACTGCTAATTACTACCTCACTAATCCAGCCACTGGATCAAGGTGTAATATCAATAGTTAAAGCATGTTACATACAAATGTCTTTTCAGTCTATTTTGGATAATTTAGAAGCTGCAGAAAAGAAAACATTTGCCCAACTGTTGCTCTCAATCTTAGATTGCTTAATAATCTTAGATTGCTTAATCTTCATCTATAAGGGATCTTAAAACTTGGACACTGAGTGTAAGTTGGAAAGCTGTTTTGCTGAATATGGTTTATGAAGACTCCAGTATTCTATGTAAGCACATTGAATACAATCAGATAATTAATGTTGCGCGTTTGCTGTGTGAGGGTTTGATGATATGTCTGGTGAAGATGTTGATGAACTTTTAGAAAAACATTGGATGAGAAGATCTTGTAAGGCTTCCAGAAGAATCCAGTTCAATCTCAGTGACTAAGGAGGATAAAGAAAACTATGAAAATATATCTAACCAAAATTTTTATTTTGATGATGTACAATATGCATTACATTTGGCAAACAAATTGGAGATTTTCTTAACAAAAAAGGATCCTTGCAAGGTATGGAAAGCAACATTTGCAGCATATTAAGTTGTATGAAAATTAGTTAGAGAAATTTCAACACAGGAATGAAGCATTATGTAGTACTGCTAGATATTCAGATGAAAGACGAACCAAGTGACATAGATATTCAGCCTCCTACAAGAAAATATACTAGAATCACAATGTTCCTAGATGACTCCAATGATGAAGACTAGATGGCATGTTAATGTAATGTTAATTCAAAAAAGTATGCATTGCAAAATTTTTTGTTTTATTTTTTTTTTTATTTTGGTAATAAAAATTTAACATAAAACATTTTTGCAAAACTTATTAAAAGTTAATTTGAATTATGTAATACAAGATTTCTTAGTGTTTACCAATATTAAAATAAAAAATTAAAATGTAAATTTTTCTCTTTTTAAATTTCCACACTTGAAATGGAATTCTATTTTTTGTAGGCTCGAACAACACTTTCAAAGAACATGGAACCAATTAATCATGTTTTTGTGGGGTTACTTGTATTGTCATTACAAAGAAACTTAAAATTTTCAGTATATTCTTCCCCAAGTCTTTCTAATAACCAGTTTCCAGAGTGTTTTATGACTTATATAATTTTTTAATAATATATTAATTGATTATAATTTGAGAGCCACATGCAATAAATAATTTGAGAGTGAGATGCAATAAGCTTATTTATTATCTGAGCTCTGATAACTATCGATAAGCAAAAGAAAGTGAAACAGAATTAAAAGTACTTATGTCTTTCAATGTATTCCAAACATGATGTGTGGAAAAATACAAATAAATGTTAAAGCACATATATTTAAAGCTATAAGAAGAAAAAGATTAAAAGGTGATGCAAGCCCTAAAATCATTCTTTTAGTCTCCATGACTCATTACATAAGAGGTAAGGTTTTTTGTCCTCCCTCATCAGAATGTTAAAAAGAAGCCAGCCCCCCTTTTTTTTTAAACAAAAGTGAGAAAGTATTAGATGCACACTCCCTTTGTTTCTAATTTTGGTGAATAGTTCTAGAAATATTTAAAATATGCTTAACTTATAACATACATGGGATGTGTCTAAAGTTGTAGGAATTTAGGTATAATTTTCATATTTTATCAGTTTTCATCAATATTACAATCTTTCAACATAATCGCCATTTAATTGACAACACCTTTAATAACAAAAAAACTAACTTTTTTAAGCCATCCTCAGAAAATTTTTTGGTGTCTCCTCAGTCCACCTTTTTATGGCATGGTTAAACAAACCCTCAAATTGAACACCCTATAAAGGTGAATAGAACAGAATACTCCTTGGAGACGTTGAGCAATTTCTAGTTTTTATGCTCCCTTTCCAACAAAAAGAAATGATTGCTCTTCGCATCTTCTATGGTTATAAAAACACCTATATTAGGCAAACAGCTGAGTGAAAGTAAACAGTATTGTATGGGATAATTGTATAAACATATCAAGACTTATCTCTTGGTGATAGCATAGTCTCATAAGTTCTAGGAATTGAATTCAACTCCAAAACCTTGGAAACGCCCTATGTACTTAATTGATAAATATGAACATTTTGCAGCATTTTGAAGCACTATCTTTTTTCAGAAGTGAAATAATTAAGCAAGCATAGGATTCTCATTGCATATTTAGATCACACCATTTGATGCACCCAACTGCAGCATTATATTATTTAATACACAACTGTAAAAATTTACTATTTATATGTTCATAATATGACTATCCTCCTGATTAAATCTTTTTATTCTGCTTCTGTTAATTGAAAATGTGAAATTTGGCCACCGACTAATGCATATATTGACATGAAACTTAGGATACTGTATTCTGTAATGCTTCAGGTTTGTTAAAAATTTCTGTTGTTATCAAAGAAACATTAAAAAATGGTCAAAATTGAGTTTTAATTCATTAGCATTATCGCAGATGAAAACGTTATATGCATTTCGGAAGAAATTTCATGCTGATATTTCTTTATCAGTGGCAATTAGTTCATGAAGAAAAACCTGTGTGAGGTTTCTCATAGGTGTCATCAAATGCACAATCTATTTATTTATTTTTAAACAGAATTGATACTGCTTTTTTATATTTTTTTATTGGAAATGAGTATATATAAATGTTTTGAATAACAAAATATGGGAAGCTATTAATGTCTATTTATGTTTATCACTCCATTTTGCTCCTGTTAATTTTTGTATGTCACAGTTTTTAATAGGGATGTATTATTTTGTTTTTCCAAGAGATAGAATTCAGATATTTTCTTGATGTGCCTTCTTAATTGTAGACATTTGATTTTAACATTTTAATTGAGCTTGTGCATGATTGTTAAAATGTTTTCTATGATTTTCTATTGAAAGTGTCAAAAGTCTAGTTAAAATTAGGAAGTAAAGCAATAAATTAATTTCTCTTAGTCTGAATTTGTAATTTTATTGTTTTAAATGATCTATTAATATAAAATTTAACTTTGTATTTTATTGTTTAAAAAAAATTTTTTTGTCAGATGAAATTTGAATATAACTTTAAATTAATTCTTCAAGTTGTTTCAGATTTGAAGAATTTTCTCTCCCTGTCTGTTTCTATTCTATATTTTAATTTTGATCATGTATTTTTTAAATTTTATATATATATATTTATTTATTTATAGGACTTGATTATATTCGAGAAACGCAGATCCCTGGCATTGGCGAAAATTATAGTTGTTTCCTATGTGGAGCTAGCTGCTCTTCAAAGGATATAATTGAACATCTTCTGCTTACTAAGCATAGGAGAAAATATCTGGTATGCCTTTTTTCATGTTGTCTACTAATAAAAGTTTTTGCCCATTAATGATTGAATGACTAAAACCATAGATGCTAACATATTTCTGTAATGTGTGTGTAATATCACCCATTTCTTCATCCTCCGCCTCATAGAGAAATAACTCCAACTTTTTCTATTTTGAACATTTATTGCACAAACACAAAACTAATACTAAACTACAATACTAATAACTGATATATATAAAGTAATACAATTTCGGTTTCATTAATAACTCCCAAGAGCCTTCCCTATGACCTGTCTGTCGGTCTCCCTCTTGGAAACTAAACTTTTGGCGCCTTCAGATTGAGAGCCAGCGCCCTCTATACATCTTGCTGGTTGGCGTCACCCATACATCACACACCCCCCCATCCAAGATTGAAATAGGGTGAAAGCCTATTGAAATATGACAAATTATGGTGACATCAAACAAAAGAGTTACTTACCTACTAAAGTCTACAAATCAATCAATACTGAAGTTGAAAGATACATAACACAATACTTATACAGGTTACTTCTACACCTACTACAAGACTTCTTCTAAAACTGTAACATATAAATGATTAAAAATTAGTAATCAAACAATTCTAATGCAATAGAATACTTAAAGTTTCTATGGTATACTTAAAAGTTCTCAATGAGAGTAGCTGAAAAGAAAATACACACACAAAAAAAAAATAATAATCTTAAGAGTCTATAAATGTCTATAAAAAGTTCTTTCTTTCACACAGGTCACTCAATAGTCTCTAGTCTGGACAATGCCTCACCTGGGCAGTGTGAAATTGTAGTATCATACTTTTGTAATGCTAAAGCCCATCTCTGTAACTTAGAAGATTGTGGTGCGTTCTTTGTGATGAAAGTTAATGGATTGTGATCAGTTATCAGTTCCACAGGTGATCCAAAAATCCAAGTTTCAAACTTTTTCAGGCTCCAAATAACAGCATAAGCTTCCCTCTCGATAGTTGGCCATGCTTGTTGTGTTTTGGTTAGTTTCTGGCTGGTGTAACTAATCGGGTACAACTTTCCGTTTTTCCATTGAGATAAGCAGGCTCCAACACCTGTTGAAGATGCATCACATTGAATTATAAAAGGTAACCCTGGAACAGGGGTATAAAGACTAGGTGCTTCCATTAGGCATTTCTTTAATTTAATCGAATGCTTCGTCGTGTTTTTCTGCCCAGCACGCTCTTCAGGACTTCTTTTGGTGAGCTTGGTTAATGGATAAGCTGTTTCGGTGTAACGTGGAATGTAATCTCTGTAAGAATTACATAGGCTTAGAATGCTTTTCAATTGTTTCTTTGTTTGAGGTCTAGCTAATTTCCAGATAGCCTTCACTTTCTCTGGATCAGTACAAAGACTGCCAGAGCCGATGATATGTCCTAGATAATGTGAGTTTTATCAAATGAGCATTTATTGAGATTTATGGAAAACTTTAGTTTTAACAATTTTGAAAAAATGGTGTCAAGATGTTCTAAATGTTCATTCCAACTCTTTGAATAAACTGCTATGCATTGACGTAGGCTCGAGCAAAATCTTTGTATTTAGCAAGGGCTTGGTTCATCACTCTCTGAAATGTTGCAGCGGCGTTGCGTAGCCCGAAAGGCATAACTTTAAATTAATACTGAGCCCGATGTGTCTTGAAACATGCTTATTCTTGACTTTCTAATGGTATGGCCCAATAGCCTTTGAGTAAATCAATGGTGGATATAACGTTGGCTTTTCCAATGTGGAATAAGACCTCTTTAGGATTTTCCATAGGGAAATCATCTGGTTTCATCACTGCGTTAAAGGATCTAAAGTCAACGCAAAAGCGAAGATTGCTGTCTTTCTTCAGAATGCATACAATAGGGTATGAAATTTCAGCATTGGTTTCTTCAATCAATCCCAATGACAACATTTCTTCAATTTGTTTGTCTATGTGCGGTTTCAATGCTTCTGCAGTTCGATAAACATATGGCTTCTTTCTTTCAGTGTCATTTAATCTTATTTTATGTTCTCCTACTTTGACAATTTCTACCTTATTTATAAATAAGTTGTCTTTTTCTTAACAAGTTAATCATATCATTCCTTTTATCATTATCTAAATGGCTTAAGTCTACTTCGCTAAGATGAAAATGATTGGACTTGTCACTCACACTGGGTGTGGGATGAACTTCTCCTAGTTCTTCTTCGTTGTCAAATATTACATCTATTGCCTGTACTTTTGGATTAAATTTTGTAATTTTATTTACGTGTACTCTTCTTATTGTACCACCTGCCAGTTTGACTCTGTAAGAATCTGGATTATTATGAGATACTATTTCTGCAGGTCTTGTCCATCTGGCATATAATTTATTACTGGAATCGGCAAGTACACTTGATCTCCGGGGTTGAATTCTTTATATATAGCCCTTCAATTAGCATATCTTGCATATGCACCTTGTTTCAATTCTGCAATTATAGATGCTTGCTCTGCTGCTATTTCTAAATTCATTTTTAGCTCCTGTAGATAATCAACAGCACTTTTACCCAATTTTATTGGTAATGGAATTTCTCCTGACGATGATGATTTTAATACTGACAACAGACCTCTGGCCTCTCATCCATACATTATTTTAAATGAAGATACTCCTGTAGTACAATTTGTAATTTCGCGGTAAGCGAATAACAGGTATGGTATGTGTTTGTCCTAATTTTTAGAGTCGTTTCTAATGATATATATGATGAAGCATACGTTTTAGAACTTGGTTGTACCGTTCAACTAATCCCGAACTTTTTCGATGCCCTGATGTTGCAAATCTAGGACTTGCTCCTAATCTGGTATGAAATTCTTGTGTTAATTCTGCAATAAAATTGGTACCTTGGTCGCTAACTATTACCCAAGGTATGCCCGTTCTCATAAAGATTTCTAATAATGCCTCACATGTTGATTTTGCTGTAATTGTTCTCAAAGTGACAGCTTCTGGACACCTAGAATGTTGGTCGACTAAACATAGTACATATTTGTGTTTACGTGCTGATGGAGGTTCAATTGGGCCGATTATATCTACATTCACTGTGTCAAATGGAAATTTAGGTCTCTGAACTGGAACTATGGGTATACGATCGCTAGTTCTTTCTCTACTTTGTAATTGACATTCCTTACAAGTTTTACAGTATTCTTCAATATCTTGTGACATGTTCGGCCAATAAAATGAATAACGAATCCTTTCTTTTGTTTTTCTCATCCCTAAATGATTTGCAAAAATAGATTTGTGAGCTAATTTTAAAATTTGTTCCCTTCTAACTTTAGGCAATACCAACTGACTAAGTTCTTCTCCAGAAATTCTTTCGGTATGATAAATCAAATCATCCATTAAAAAATATTTATTTTTATTTCTTTGCGCATCTTTATAGATATTGTATAATGTCTCACCTTCCCTTTGCTGTTGTTTAAAAATACTGGTATCCGAATGTTGACCCACATTTAATTTATCCTCACTTTCGTTTTCACCCTGAATGCAACTTATGCCTAAATTTTGCTCTCCTCCTGTCATAAATAAATCAGCGTGGCTTTCACCTTCGAATTGTTTTGACCGATGACTCCTCACTTCTGGTATCTGCGATGGAGACACTGTGTCACAATCACGATTCGCGCTAAGCAGATGTGATTCAGAGGTCAATAAATCATAAACATTTGGAGTAGTTGTGTAGGGAATATGAAGTTTTTCTGTTAAAGCTACAAATATTTCGACAGGTTTTAATAAATTGGGGTTATCAGCATTTCTGATGGCTATTGGAATTCTAGCCACTTTAGCTGAGATGGTTTCTCGAAAAACGGAAATTAGGTGAATATTACAGTTGTTCTCAATAGAGAAATTTGATATGTCTTTGGATATGTCTATGGATTTATAACAGAACTCTCGGCACTCGAATCAATTATGGCTTGGATTTCATTACCTGCAACACAAATATTTACCTTTTGCAACGGTTTCGTAAAAATTTCATTTGACAAGCATGAAGATCCGATTTTTGCTATTACTTTATCACTGGTATTTTTCTCTGGTGTTTCCTTTTTTAGAGGAGTATTCGTTTTTTCCGATTTGTTTCTTTGTGGGCAAGCTTTAGCGAGGTGCGTTAATTTTCTACATAGGTAACAGTCTTTGGATGGATATTTATTTTTATTTATGTTGCTTCTCATATGAGGCGGAATATATTTCAATTCTCTTGAAGAGTGGAACGACTTAGCTATGTTTTCGTTAGTGCTAAAAGTGGTTTCGTTTAACGATTTGCCTTTGTTTACAAAATATAGGTCAACTTTAGCTAAATCCTTAGGTTTTAACAGATTTTCTCCTGTTTTAATATTAATGTAAGTTGCCTTTTCTCTATCTAACGTTTGGAAAAGTTTGTCGGAAATCATTAGTTGACAAAATGTATCAAAGTCATTAACTTCGTGCAATTGACAGTAATACTAGAAATTTGCAGACAGTCTAGATGCGAACTGAACATATAACTCTTTAGGATCGCTCCATGCTCTTTGGAAATTCATTAAACATTCATTAGCAGTTGGTTGATATTCTCTTAATACTAGTTTTTTAATGGTTTCATAACATTTTAGTTCTTCATCATTAATGTAAAATAATACATTAGTTGCTTTATCCCCTAAAATGTTAATCAAAATTTCGGATTTGAGCTCCTGTGAAACATTTTTAGTTATGAATGCTCTCTCTAACGTTTGAAAAAACAAATTGAAGTTTTCCAATCTTCCCGGAACAGGAATAGTTAATGTTTTTACACTCTTTATCAAATTTTCCAAATAATTTCCCAAACCTGTAATCATGTGTTTATCTGCACGAGATCTATCTTTAACTGTGTTCTGACTTCTAACTTTTTCCAATTCTAATTCTTTCTCTAGCTGCACTAATTTTAATTTCTCAAGTTCAATTTTTTGAGCTTCTAAGTCTAACTGTGTATCCCTAGCTTTTATTTCATTTCTTCTCTAATTTTTCTTTCCTCAACTATTG